GCCTTCTTAATCACTACGATCGGTGCGGCCCATGCAGAGTAGTTAACTGGTCGGATTACACCAGCCTGTTGCAAGCGATTAAGTTCCTGGTCGACTAGCTCAAGAGCAGCATATGGTACAGGACGTCTCGGGCGAAAAATAGGTATGGCATCTGGTTTCACTGGTAAGTGCGCTTTCATCTTGGTACAGTGGCCAAGGCTATTCTGAAAAACAGAGGCAAACTTTCTTTTCAGTTTTTCTAGTAACCTTTCACCTGTCTTCTTTGGAAGTAATGGGGTGTCCAATGATGAACACGATACGTTACAGACACTGTTAATTGGTATATCCATTATTCCAAGTTTGTCTAGCATATCTAGACCAAGAAGATCAAGGTTCGGCCGTTCTGTTAGGTAACATATTCCTGTACAGTTAGTTCCATTGAAGGAAAATTCACACTGTAATTCACCAACCAGTTTTAGCACACCACCTGATGCGTTTTTAGCCGTTTTCTTAGATGGCTTCATTGGCGGTTTACCCAGCAAGTTATACGTTTCTCTAGACACTAACGTGATATCTGATGCCGTGTCAATTTGAAGACGAGCTGATATGCCGTTTATCTGGATGGTAACATACTTTCTCCGAATGTCATAGTTTGTTTGAAAGGCAGCTACCAGAGAAAGAGATTTGGACTCGGCTGATTTCACATGTCGAGGACGTTTATGCTTCTTCTTAGGCTGAGACGTACGCTTCGGTGGACAATGACCTTCTTTATGTCCACGTTTGTTGCACGCCTGACATTTATGCTTCTTGAACGGACAGAATCGTGCATAATGCCAATCACCGCATAACCAGCATGCAGTCCTTGGTTTGTTACGAGTTGTTACCGGCTTCTGAACTTTTAACCTAGTAATAGTATTTACACTACCGCAGGTTAAATTAGGATTTACCTGTTCAATCAACTCGTTGTCGTGTCTGATGCTTTGTAGACGCTTACACTCATCTGTCAATGTTCTGAGTGTGACGTTTGGGTCTTGATCCAGTCGAGCTAAAAGTCTAGTCCTGATCTCAGCATCTTGTGGTGACTGAAGAGCTTTGATGAATATTAAGCATTTAAATTGGTCATCAGTCAACGAGCGTAACTTGAAACGTTCACATTCTCTGTTGACAATGTCTGCTAGAACACCATATTCATCAGCTTCGCGTTTCACCAAATTTAGACACCGATATCGAATACTAAACAACGAGGATGACTCGCCGAATATCTCTGACAACTGAAATACCGTCTCCTCGAAACTGAGCTCTCGAGGTAACTTTGGCAATATATGGTCAGCAAAACGTGCATGTTCATTGCTTCCCAACTTACGTACCAACAATCGGGTCTTCCACGCATCGTCTTGGTTACAGAATTCTGTTCTAAATGTATCTTCCCAACGTTGAACCACGTGAGAAAAGTATTTCCACTTTCGGGATCATAGATGAATTCTGGGATGCTGCTAGCAACTGCATCACAAGACGAACTTGAAATAGCATGTGAACTCGAGCTGTGGATGTTGAGCTGTTGAGTCAGAGTCTCCAACAACCGCATTTGTGCATCAAGTTGTGCTTGCTGTTGTTGTAGTATTCGGTTAAGCTGGTCATCTGATATAGGCATCTTGAATTTGTTTTCCTTTTTCCCCGTCGCCACTGTTATAATCTCTTTCTTCTTACGGTTATGACCCAGCTATTCCTATTGCTTAGTATTCTCGGACACCGATTCACTCGACAAGTCCCCAAATCAGAACACGGTTGAACAGGAAGGAGATTATATTCCAAATAACAAGAGCAAGTCAGAAGCACAATAGAGAAAACGTCAGTATATTTATAGTTTTTTACATGAGAAGATTCTAGAGTATTCTCCAACTATCGACTAGTGCTGATTGGATAAGAATTAGCCAATCAGCGTGCACCAAAGCTATCGTGAATTGAGGATGCTTTAATCCGGTTTATGTCCCGCTAACACTAAATAATAATTTGTTGGTAGTACCGTCTATATAAAGAACCCCACTTTTGTTTATATTTACTGAGAATGCATTGTCAGAGCTAAATGATTGAATTGTGAAATATCCACTGTCGCTTTGGCTACAAAGTCAACACTTAATTAAAATAGATGTGATCGTTTTATTTACAATTCTATATCAACCTTTAATCAATGAACTAATCTATTCTGTTGATAATAAAGCAGTAAATACTTCCTTTCTGAAGAGAATTAAGCTGGACTATGAAAGAATTTAAAGGAGAAATACTTTAAAATCATGAAATGCAGTCAATTATTACCGTTGCCTCGTGAATTAATCTCGAGTTAAGTAGATACCTTAAGATGATTACCTACCACAACTAACAGACCTGTTTATTAATAGACGTTCGTACACTTATCATTCAACGAACAATAGAAATTTAATCAACATAAACACACACACATACAATGAATGTGAACACCTTGAAGCATACATCAGTTTTATTCAAATCTAAATACACAGTGCAAACTGTCAATATTGGAATTGATTTAAAAGAGGAGATCATTTGTCGATGCCATGTTGTAAACTAAAAAAAACAAACATAATAATCTTAATCGACCAGTGGACCATAAGTTTTCCAGTTAGCTTACCCATTCATACTGTAAAATAAGATAATCAGTTCACAACTGTCAATGATTGAGCCATTGAGAAAATTTCCTGAAAATCGAATGGTATTGTAGTGCCGGTTATTATGCTAAGCCCCATATACCTTATTCTAGCTTTTGGACATCCCATTCTATTAATTCTACTTGAGTCACATTCTGACCTTGTTAATTATTCGCTTATTAATCTTGACTGTTTTTATATGAGCCCGTAGGTGTGCATACACTATTTCTTATCTCATTACTCATCACATGCCTGTAACTTACTTTTGTGTAACTACAAATTGATTAACACTTGATTAAATGGGTGTTGGCTTACCCGCCATCTCCACTCTGAGTCGTTCCCTTCTCTTTATTCCATTAGCTTTATATACAAAATATATGTATTCACAAATCCATTCTCGTTATTTGACTTATTTAATTCCGCCGTTATTGACTAACACGATTTAAGTCGATGATTATATACGAGGATAGGCGACATATATATTCCAATAACAATTATTTATTACGATCACCTTGGAGTCAGATCACGGACCACTAAATTGGAGAGTCCTTACGACAACATCGTCCGGTCTAAATGACAATTAAATAACGGGTCCCACAGTATTGTTTTTGATGAAAATATTACTGATTTCATTCTGAAATTACAGGCCCTACTATATCTACAGATTTCTAGCAAACGACTAGGTTCAATCTCTGAGAGCAGGTTCATGAATATATATATATCCCAAACGCAACAACAAATGCAGGAGAAGACGAACAGTGTCGCAGCAGCCTCAGCAGCAGTAGATCTCAATATACACAAAGGGAAAAGCAGGATTCTCCGATACAACACAACATACAACAATACAATCACAATTGACTGAGAAGATTGGAAGATGTAAAAACCTTTACATATTTGGGCAGCATCATTGATGAACACGGTGGATCTGATGCAGATGTGAAGGCGCGGATCGGCAAAGCAAGAGCAGCATATTTACAACTGAGGAACATCTGGAACTCAAAGCAACTCTCAACCGACACCAAGGTCAGGATTTTCAATACAAATGTTAAGACAGTTCTACTGTATGGGGCAGAAACCTGGAGAACTACGAAAGCCATCATCCAGAAAATACAGGTGTTTATCAACAATTGTCTACGCAAAATACTTCGGATCCGTTGGCCGGACACTATTAGCTACAACCTACTTTGGGAGAAAAAAACAGATTCCAGCGAACGAAGAAATCAGGAAGTGGATAGGACACACATTGAGGAAAGCACCGAACTGCGTCACAAGACAAGCCCTCACATGGAATCCTGAAGGCCAAAGGAAAAGAGGAAGACCAAAGAACACATTACGCCGAGAAATGGAAATAGACATGAGGAAAATGAACAAGAATTGGATGGAACTAGAAAAGAAGGCCAGGACAGAGTGGGTTGGAGTAAGTAAGTAAGTAAGTAAGTAAGTAAGTAAGTAAGTAAGTAAGTAAGTAAGTAAGTAAGTAAGTAAGTAAGTAAGTAAGTAAGTAAGTAAGTAAGTAAGTAAGTAAGTAAGTAAGTAAGTAAGTAAGTAAGTAAGTAAGTAAGTAAGTAAGTAAGTAAGTAAGTAAGTAAGTAAGTAAGTAAGTAAGTAAGTAAGTAAGTAAGTAAGTAAGTAAGTAAGTAAGTAAGTAAGTAAGTAAGTAAGTAAGTAAGTAAGTAAGTAAGTAAGTAAGTAAGTAAGTAAGTAAGTAAGTAAGTAAGTAAGTAAGTAAGTAAGTAAGTAAGTAAGTAAGTAAGTAAGTAAGTAAGTAAGTAAGTAAGTAAGTAAGTAAGTAAGTAAGTAAGTAAGTAAGTAAGTAAGTAAGTAAGTAAGTAAGTAAGTAAGTAAGTAAGTAAGTAAGTAAGTAAGTAAGTAAGTAAGTAAGTAAGTAAGTAAGTAAGTAAGTAAGTAAGTAAGTAAGTAAGTAAGTAAGTAAGTAAGTAAGTAAGTAAGTAAGTAAGTAAGTAAGTAAGTAAGTAAGTAAGTAAGTAAGTAAGTAAGTAAGTAAGTAAGTAAGTAAGTAAGTAAGTAAGTAAGTAAGTAAGTAAGTAAGTAAGTAAGTAAGTAAGTAAGTAAGTAAGTAAGTAAGTAAGTAAGTAAGTAAGTAAGTAAGTAAGTAAGTAAGTAAGTAAGTAAGTAAGTAAGTAAGTAAGTAAGTAAGTAAGTAAGTAAGTAAGTAAGTAAGTAAGTAAGTAAGTAAGTAAGTAAGTAAGTAAGTAAGTAAGTAAGTAAGTAAGGAGGAGTTCCATACTAGGATGAAACAGATGTCTAGTGCTTCTAAGTTTTTAATAGTTGTCTAATTTAGATCAGTTTTTGATCTTAATAAGATTTTCATATATACAAATAGATTATAACATCATTATTAAAACTAGGAAATTCAATTGGATTGAACAATTCAACAATTCAATATGTTAAATAGTAAAAGTCACTTCTTCATATTATATTTTTAAGTATGAAAGTCACACTGAAATAAATAAATAACTGTTCGAAAAAAAGAAGGATTAAATAGGAGGAGGACGAGGAGGATACAATAATTGAATCAATAGTTCAAACAAAGTACCTTTTGATGTAATTTAGATGAGAATCAATCAATGAATGAATGTTGACACATGAGGTCCTTTATCATTACCCTGTAAATATTAGAAATATAGAGAATGGATGTAAAAAGGAGGTTGAATAAAATACAATGAAGCTGGTTATTATTCAATGAGTAAAATTAGTTGTACAATTAAAGGGATTATTTTATCCAGTCCTCTATACAAAGTTCACTTTGGCTAACTTCAACTTGTGTGCATAAATTTTTTTTTGGGCTGAATCTTAGGAGGCCACACCCAAAGCCTTCAACCTAAAGATCTGATCCACAAAGCAGTGGTTCAACAACAGAAGATGCAGTCCTATTGTAACCGGTGACCAATAATTGTTTCATGCGCCATTTGTTCTTTCAGAATACTGCAGCCAGCCCATGTGCACAATTGGTTTGGAATCAGGGTTTCCCAATTCCTCTAGATGGATCCATATCCACTAACCCCCGGTTAAAGCAGTTTACATTTACTTTTCGTCCTATCAATTTTTTAAACAACAGTAATGCCGCAAGAAGGCAGTGAGTAGGACTTCCCTAGCAGTGGTTGTATACGCGTGGCCATGTGAGAGCATTTCGTGTGAGAGAGAGAGAGCTGAATCTCCCCACTCTCGGCTGGACCAGGGAATTTAGGGGCCCTAAACGTTTAGTATCAACAAAAACGACAAACAATTGGTAACAAATATATGATTCAATCAAGAGAAATAACTGAATTAATGATGGTTTTACTCCCAATATATAGTTGTATATTAACATCTAAAATAAATCCTAAAATTTGGTTAATCTGATATTTCATATATCAATATCTTTCTATTTATAACATACAAAATAACTAACCCGGGGATTAATAGTTATTAATACGAAGATTGCCAATGATTTGATGTGCATACCTAACACAGTATCAATATTTGTAGACACAGAGTTAATGATAAAAGTCCTGATCTTAGAAATATAGGTCTTATATAAATTTATTGATCTTTCCTGTTTCTTTGTTGATAAGTATCAGATAGGGTCTAATAGTTTCAATTTACTGACAGTTAAATGATACAAATTGAGTTCTAAGCATCGGTCGGTCAAATAAATGTCCAAACTTTGATATCAGTTAGGATAATGTAATGCACCCAGGTAAATCAAGTAATCTAACATTGTCAGGTACAATATTTTGAGCTACACAAGTGGTAAGTACACCTGGAAACAGTATAAGTGACGGATATTGTCTAGGGAATATTCTTTTATACATTTCTTAACAGACAATGATGAAGTTGAGTGAAGAGTTTAAAGCAAATGAAAGTGTAGAATATGTAAAAGAAATAATTTTTATATACAAATCTTCAATAGACACGACTAAACAGAATACATACACCAACAAACCTTAAAGCCTTCAAAAAAGCTTTCCACTTCAGCAACAGATTGTTTTGTCAGTGTAGATTTAGCACATAAATTTATATCATCTAACACACATTTAGATGCCATTGGATAATTATTTTCTTGAATAACCACTTTTGAGAGAATAAGTTTTCGACTTCCGGGAGGAACTGAACGACTTCGTCTACGTGAATCAATTTTCGACTTTACTAATCCCGGTTTCTGGATAATTATTTTGTGTTAAAACAGAGAAAAGTGCTCAAATATATAAACAGCAACACAGAAAATCACTGTCATTCAAAAATGATATGTTCCTATGTCAAACTTTTTAAAAGTTATGCAGTTTGAATGAGATCATTATGTATGAATTCCCTGATCAAATTTATTTGTTTTCAACTATGGTTTATTGTCGTAATAAAAATATCGAACGATTAGTCATTAATAATTCGTTATCGTAAGAAAATGCATAGCACATTAAGGGATTAAAATAAGCGCCAAGCAAAATGACATGCATTAACAAGAAAAAAAGTACTAGAAGGTACAAATTGTTCCTTATCTTTGTCAGCCTTACTTTAGACTTGTTTTTCACTAGCACTATCCTACTTCAATATATAAGTCAGTCAGCTGCAAAGTAGGATTAGGCACATATATTTGAACACATAGATATTAGTACACGGAGGCACCAAATACATATGCACCACACAAATCTCAATTGACACGTATGAGGGCTTTGATACTGCCCGGGTGCTCAAACCGAAGCAGATGGTTTTCTTAGAGGGCCACACTCAGAGCCTTCAACCTAAAGGTTTGATCCACAAAGCAGTTGAGCAATGTCATAAGATACAGTCCCATGGTAGCCGGTGACCAACAATTGGTTCACACGCCATTTGTTCCCTCAGGATACTGGAACCAGCCGATGTGCACCATTGGTTTGGAATCACGGTTTTCCAACTCCCCTAGGTGGACTCTCCATGTCCATTAACCCGATTAAGGCACCGGACATTCGCTTTTCGTCTTCTCAATTTTGTAAGCAACACTCCCGCCACGAGAAGGCAGTGAGTAGGACTTCCCTGGCAGTGGTTGTATATGCGTGGCCATGTGAGAGCATTTGGAGAGGGGGAGCTGACTCTCCCAGTCTCGGTCGTACCAGGGTATTTGGGGGCACCAAATGTGCTAGTTTCGATCACGCTTTCAACACACAACAAGTATATGCGAGAAGACGTAACTGGTATACTAGTTAGTTATTTTTTCCAGTTACCAAGCCCTTTTCTATTAGCTACTTAAAAATGGTTCGTACTAACAGTTTGCATCGTAAAAATATTACTCTAAGGAAGATATGCTAAGTTTTTGGATAACAAAGTATTAAATACACGAAAAACTATTTACCTTGAGAAAGTTTCCAACACGACTTTGTTTCGGTTGACTATCTGCTAATAATGATGATACAGAGCTACCAGAACTATGATCACGTAAGATAGTTGTTTCATTACAATATGGATTAGGTCGTTTGAGACTTTTTCCACAGTTCAATGCACCAGGAGGTTTAGTTTCAATGATTCTATTTGGAAATATGTTTGAATTTTTATTGAATGCAAATTTTGTTCACAATAAAATGTATATAGTGACCACTCGATAAAAATTTTCGGTTTATTCACAAATCATTATAGAAAATATTGATAATATGTCTTAAATTATTCAGTAGATACACTTTCAAACCTCATAAACACCTCTTATCCGTCAAAATCTTTTGAATAAAATCCTAATGTAATCACTATTACTTTCATAGATAATACTCAGTCCATATACACGAGTTTTTATTCTGGTAAGAAACTGGAAAAGATTGCCCAGAACAGTGTTCGATGAAGAATGCTGATGAGCGATCTATGCTCTTCCACGAGCGGTAACAGGGGTAAGTCAGAAAAAACATGACATTACCTCAAGAAGACGCTGACTAATAGTCTAAACAATGTTGGTGAAGTTTGACTACCTAACTGGAGTCTGCAGGACAACTATGATTAGTAGCTCGAGACTTTAGGTCACATAGCTCAGAATCGTTGACAATGGCGCGAATGTGTTATTCTACAGTAAATCTTGAGCTTCAGTATTTCTTCACATATATCACTCCACTGTCTTTTTGAATTCTACTTTCGGTGCCTCATCTTTTTATTGTTATTTTTAGCACATATGATATGACAACTTGGGCAAACGAATATCTGTGTTAGGCTCTATACTAATAATTGACTAGCCTAAAAGTATACTGTAAATTGACCTACGATCGTTGAAATGAGATTGAATTTTAAAAACTATATTTGTCCGTGTAATTGATACTTCAAATGTCTCAGTAAGGATATTTAAAATCCGAAAAAGTAACTGAGTAACATCGAAAAGGTCGGAAGATTTTGGCCATAACGATCGTTAATATCCTAATAATTAACGAGGAAGGATTTCCTAGCTGGTGGGACTGGAAATGGCTAAATGATCACATTGGGAATGATTAAAAAGATTATAGTACTGTGAAATAGGTCCAGTGCTGAAAAACTCAATAATAAAGAGATGAGTGTCAACAAATCAGTTGGCTATATCTATTTGGTCTAAAAGAGTTTTAAAATTAATTGTGGGGTAAACTATTTTTTATAAACAAAGCCTTATTTAAAATAAAAAAATGATTTAACTATAGAGACCGAACTATTGAGAATTTACTTTGCAGATTTGGGCATACGATCGTTTTGTTTTTCATTTTCTTTGTCATTTTGTAAACTTTCCCATGATTTCATAATAAAATCTACTGGATTCAAATTTTCCGACCCCAATCGAATGGCTGAAGCTAGTGAAGGGCTGGCAACACAAAGACTTAAGAACACCTCTCTAATCCTAGCTTCTAAACTCGGTAAATCACGTGATAGTTGTTTGCGTTCTTTCTCAAGCTTTAACAATATACCGCCACGATTTTGTAGCACTGAAGGTTCTTTCATTCGTTTCTTGAATAAAAGGGAATGTAAACGAAAATGTAAAGATTTAAAAAATAATATCTCAACCTTTTAGCTAACATATTACAGGTGATTCTCCATTAAGGTTACTAAATTTATTGGGACGCTGCTTAAGAAGAAATGTTTAGATTAAATCTCTAACAAATGGGTCAAGGTAAGAAAACGAAAATACCCATGATTCAGTCGCAGACTGAATTATTTAAGATAACTGCTACTGAAAGCTAAATCCTTGAATATAATAACAGATTAAAATCTGAATACCGGTGCAAGAGGGAACACCCCACTGCAAGCTTCACAATCCCAAAACTACGTCAACTATTCAGTTGTTGAGAGGTTATAGAATTAACAGTTGGCGATAATGGAAGTTTGAATGGTTTAAATTAGTTATTGTAGTTAGATTTTTGTTTAGCAAGGTTGTTTTCTACTTGGTAGGGCTTCTGACGCTTGACTCAACCCTCCTTCGTTACTCGGGTTTGAGATCAAAGGTAACCTAGAAGAGCTACAGATGCAGATGACCGAGATTTTAATGGTTTCTGCTAATCTATGGTTCTACATCAAATTCTCAGACAATTGACGGGGGCTTTCCAGCAGAAGTTTTACTTAGCGGAAAATACGATCACATTTCGATGTCATTCGTCCGACGCCAGCTCTTGATTCTCAATGAAACATATCGATGAAGAAGTAAATCAATCGACATCATGGAGTACAAAGACAATTGTTCACTGTGGGTCAAAAAGTACTTGCTAAGGACTTATGTGTTAAACATCCTATATGGATAGATGGTCGAATCGTGGAAAAGAAAGGAAGTGTGGTTTACGAGGTATCTGTTGGTTCAAAAGTTTGGGTGAATTATGCTAACCGACTAAAAGCAACTTCAATCGTCAGAAACGAGATACGACAAAGAAAACCTCTTGATGTCCTGCTGGTACCCTTGAAATCAGTATCACTGAAATGGAAAGGGTAGTCTTTTTGTACGTAAGGTGATAAGAGAATTAATAACAACCGGTAAAAACAACAGTAGAAGGGTCAGACTGTGACTCACCTTCCCATCCAATTTCGTTATTTCTCTATGTATTTATGTCTCTTTAAACATAACTGTAACAATAATTTTCAAAACAATTTACAATATCAGGAATACATGAAGGCCTACAGCTGAAAATACAGGTTCGCCATGCACTTCGAAAGTTAATTTATTACTAAATACATAGGCAATCTAGAATTTAGGTAATTAAAACGACAAGTGTAGTCATGAGTGCATTAGATCTCCGTCACATTAACTCAGTTACTTAATATATTCATTTGAGCCAAAACATTGCAACTAAGATGGGGAACGTAGAAAATCTTTAAGTGGTAGGTCTCAAGAGATAAATTAGGCTTTGAAACCTCTGATTAGATAGAAGTTATTATTAACTTAGTAATTACAGGAGTATGTAAGACAGATAGACGTTTTCTGACAAAAATTATTTTATGCTTTCGTAATTTTCCGTAAAAATTCAGTACACATAAGTTTATGGACTAGGCTATGAGCAAAATGTACTATGTGGGGTCTATTCAACTACTTAGTTGGATGAAACAAAACAGATAATATAGCTTTAAAATGCTTAACGGATTGGTTAGTTGTCTGATAAAAACATAACAACCACTCACATATCAACATTATTTTAGGGAAATATGATTTCTGGTAGTAAACCGTTGAAACAAAATACTTCTCAAAGAGAAAAATGAGGTTGAAAAAAGTTATAGATAATACCTTCAAACTTTGAAAGGAAGAAAATTGATCACACCACTTAACAACGTCTAAAAGAAATTCATGGTTGTTTTCTTTGAAACCTTTCCACGTGATAATCTATGGATTGAGTGAAAAATGATTAAGGTCTTACTTCCTTTTCCAGAATGGTTAGTACATTCTCACTATCTTTATTTTGTAACAAAGATTTGAAATTCTGACGATATTCGTCGCCCACAAAACAATCATCCCAACACTGGCAAACATGTAAGTGGGCGGCGGAAATCAAAGCATCCATATGACGTGTACGTAGAACTTCTAACCGATCCACTTCTGTTCTCAACTAAAATTTACAAAACACTACTGATATGATCACCGTTAACTTGAAGACTAACTATTTTCACTTAACTCCACACAAAAAAGTTAAAATAGTCTAGAGAACACAATACCACGACTAAATAGTAATTCCCAAAACACTTATTTCTGATTACTAATATCAAGATTTATTATAAAACTATCAACATATTGAGATGAAATTTTCAGAGTACGTGGAGGCATCAAAAACATATATGAGCCACACAAATCATTTGATTTGGGTGATGGCTGTAAGATTGCCTGGGCACCCAAATGGAAGCAGGTTTGCCATTCAGGTTGCTTGGATATAGTGGGCAACTGAAGTGTGGCTGAAGGTCAGTTGGATTATTTTCCAAAGTGTCCTACTAATAGTTTCAATCTCCTGGATTGGAAGGAATAACAGTCCCATCTTTTTCTGAGAGTTCCACTAACAGCTGGATTTTCAATACCCGTTTTCTTAATAAGTCTGAACAGTTGTTTACTGTTACCTATCGCTTCTATCTTTCTCATCTCTTATGATTCGCCGCTCATCATTGCTCATAATCATTACTCAATCTTTTTATCGGCCTACGTTTAAGCTTCTCAGACTCGTTATCGTGTTCAGAGCCAGACGGAATGAGTTTCCGAGCGACTATCAGTTCTGTATACTCTGCCGATATCCGATGATTTTTCCTAATCTTTTGGTTAGTTGCTAGTAGATACTACTGCTGTTTCTACAGCTTTCCGGATGTCATACAAAGCTACCTCGAGGTGGAGAGACCAGTCAATGTCTCATAAAGATGTCCTACTGAGGAATTTTTATGGTAAACTTCAAAATCTACTAATGTTATTCACTACCTAGTCAATAAATACTTTATCCGAATTGACTGTGCATTGGTAGATGCTGTAACTTATCTTGGTTGATTATCTAAAGTAGCGAGCTCGTATTGTATAAAGAATAAGTGTATGAACAATTATACCCTAAACTATGGCAAGCAGCATACGAAGAAGCCTGCAATATGGAAATAAGGTTAATTCTAAGGGAATTTCATTGATAAGAAACTCCATACTCTACGTAGTGAGTGGATTAAGCGGAATTTTAAAAAATACTAATGGTTATAGTAGGCTTACGATGCGTAATGTGGAACTTGAATTTTCATCCTCAATTTCACTACAAGTAACGCCCAACGGGTTCAGCAATTGAAGTAGAAGGTTCAAGCGATCTCTATATATTTTGCATTCCGTGTCGACACGTGCACAGTCAGAAGCCAACTGATCAACAATGTCTGACATAGAAAACATATTTTCTTCAGAAAAGGTGAAAGTTTCTAACGCTTCTGGTGCCAGTATCTCCTTGACGAGACAACAAGAGTCTGAAACCAGCCTCAAAGACTTTCCAAGCTTTGCGTAACCGGCAAACATCTGGGACCTAAGTTCTAAAAACTTGGCACACCTTTCAGCCTGCAAAACTATTAGGCACTGTAAAACCTACTTTAACAAGCTTTAGATGATCAACGCGTCTGCTAAGTAATTTCATCTGTTCTTTAGATGGAACCACTTTGTAAACAATTGTCATTTCTGCTTCACATAAACGATGACACAGATCTTTTTCCAGCTTCTTTAACGAATTGAACTCTTGAATAAAATCATCAGCGTCCTTTAAAAGCCTCTCTTTTTCAGACAACAGAAAATTGTATGTATTTAACAAAGTTGTGGTTGTTGGAGGATCAGAAGGTGTACTGTTAATTTCTGAAGATATTTCTTTAATGAATGCCTGAACCATAAACCTAAGATAGAACTAATATGCTTACGGTGAGCTCATTAATTGATTGAGATAATTGTGTTTTCCTGATTTCTTTGTCAGTTAATACACTGTCCAGCAATACATCCATTCGTTTTACGACGGAACCCACTTCTTGCTCAAGTTCTGAACCTTCTACGCCTATCTCATCCCATACTGCGAAAATTGATTGACACTTTTTCTCAACACCATCCAGAATGGACTTAAGTAACCACGAAGCGCACATAATTAAAAATCAACCTCCAGCAGGTCGTTTATTTTTTCGATGCAGTTTCTGAACTATTTCAAGTGTTCAATACCATTTGACGCGTTCAAATAGAATTCTTATTACTTACACTCCAGCGTATTTACAATCAAGAGGTTTCATATTTCATGAGAAATCAAAGGCAATTTATCTTGTAAATGTGGAGTTTCTCTGAATATTTCGATGTGTGTTGTATCTAGTGAACCATACTTCTTACTAAAACTCTACTTTTGGGTTTATATACAGACCGCTATATTTCATATTTCATACTGTATTTATTAGAACGTCAAAACATTAGTCAGACTTGTAAATCCAGTGAAGCCTGTAGCGTAAATAATTCCCCAAGATCAATACCTTCGTAAGTCTTCGACATTTGATGCTGGCCGCATTAGTTTTAATGGACTCACCTAGCTGAAGGCACTCGGTCATGCATCCCCAACAGATCACCAGCGAATACACCGTGCTTCACTACCCTTACAATCGCTAGCCAGATTAGATTATTCACTTCACGATATATCGATATTCTATCTAATATATATTCGATTCACTTTGTTCCTGACTTCTAATATCACTGGGTTGGCACTTTTCGATTACAGAAAGTGTTACTAGTTAAGGTGTTGTCAAACTCCGAATAGTTGTGACATCTTCAAGCCAATGAGTCAGCTGAGTTAAACGCAGGAAGTTCAATAAGTGTATCTCCATTTACTGAACCTGACCCTCGTACATGACCTGCATGAGTTGAAGAGAGATTTCATTGTCAAGATATCGTCTGTTAATCCTTGAAATATTGATTTGTGGTGAGAATACTACCAACTGAGTTAGCGGCAGAAACATCCAATTTCAAAGGAAATGCTCTACTGTCTGAATCCCATGATTAGTTGCAATAGACAGTCAATCAGCACGTCATTTCGTTGGATTTGAAAGGAACGCAACAACGAACAACGAATTACAAGCTGGGTTACAGGTCGTCTCCTCATTTATAACGGCGGACGAAGCAACATTATTCTTGTACACGGTCGATGATGCATATGAGAAGTATGAATGCAAAGAATATTAACGACAGCATGAGAAGTTGTATGTACGTCTAGTCTGCGACGAATTGCAAAAAAAGCTCTGAAAGTAATTCCAGACCAATTTTCATGCACACATTCATTAACGTGTTCAAAATAATCTCGCAAATCAATCTATGTGCAAAAGTGACGGAGTTGCGTTCCAGATATCATGCACTCAGCATCTTTAGTAGATTGAACAATAGACCCAGAGTCATCAATTGAAACGGCTTGGGACGCATTTCGAAATTTATACTTAAAAGTCACCGCACCTCACATCCCCTGGACTATACCAAGGGGGCCGAGAAACTCTCCACCATGGTTCAGTAGAGAGGTCCCCACCTTTCTCCGTAAGAGAAGAAAAATGTGGGATAGATTTAGGTTCCTGGGGACTGATGAAACGAAATCTCATTATCGAAAAGCCTGAAATACCTGTTCCCCGACCCTCCGTTAGTCTAGAAAGTTATGCGAAGAAGAAGTTGTTAAGGAATCCAGAGAATTTCTTAAACGCTTTTATTCCTATATAAACCAAAGGACAAAAAGAAGAGGAAATATTCCTGCACTACGGGAAGACAGTGCTGCCGCGTCATTAGTGGAGGATGACTTTGGTAAGGCTCAAGTGTTCTCGAACTACTTTAGCAACGTATATACCATAGAAGCGCCCTTACCGTTAGCGCATACAAATCCCCCCGATGGATAGCGTGACCATTAAAGAACTCGATGTCATTGGTCTGCTTAACAAGCTTGACATGGTAAATCTACGCGGCCCGATGAATTGCATCCTAGGCTACTGAAGGAATTATCTTACTTCGTTGCGACTCCTTTAAGTATACGCTTTATTCTGTCCGTAACGAAAAGTCGTTTACCAAAAGACTGGAAGAACGTCTTAGTTATTCCTGTCTTCAAAACAGGTACGAGACATAAACCTGAGAATTAACGACCCGTTAGCTTAACTAGCGTGGTTGTTAGAATCTTAGAAAAGATTATTCGGAAGGAACTGTTTAAGTATCTCAATGAAAACCGGATCCTTTCGAAGAAACAGAACGGTTTCAGAACAGGTTATTCTTGTCTCACTAACTTACTAGTAACTCGTGAAAGCCGGTGCGCTCTTAAAGAGCGAAAGTTGCTTTTAGACGTAGTCTACGTTGATTTCAGCAAAGTTTTTGACAAAGTTCAGCACAAACGGCTGTTATATAGGCTAAGAAATGTCAGAGTTGGGGGCAATCTATTGATGTGGTTAAAAGACTTCCTAGTTGGGCGCCATTAAAAAGTACGGGTGAACCCAAAGTCATCTATCTGTGAAACTGTGCTTAGCGGAGTGCCCAAGGGTACAACTTTGGGGCCAGTGCTATTCATTTTGTATGTAAATGACTGTCCTCGTCTCCTATCAAGCAGCACGGAAGTGTGCAGTTTTAGAACCTTATGGTCAATACGTAGGGCTTTTAGTCACGTCGATGTTAAATCGTTTTTGACTTTGTACACAGTGTTCGTACGTCCTAAAATTGAGTAATGCATACAAGTGGCTAGCCCCTGCTGAAAAAAGAAAGTGAGCTTCTGGAAAAGGTTCAGAGAACAGAAAATAAGCTGATTCACGGAATAGCGAAGCTTCCGTATGATGCTTGACTGGCCAAGCTGAACCTTTTTCAAATGTCATATCGAAGAACTAGAGGCGACTTGATTACAGTTTTCAAATTTCTCAGTGATAAATATACACTTGATATTCCCTCATTTTTCTTGTCTTCCAGAATAGAGAATTTACGAGGACACTCAGTTAAAGTTCACAAGCCCAGAACAATTTACTTTTCAGCTGACTGTCGACTTTCCCATCGAATCATCAACGAGTGGAATTCATCACCTCAGCACGTGGTTGAGGCTCCATCCATCGATTTTTTCAAGAGAAAGTTGAATCAACTGAGGTACGAATATTGCCAGGACTAACACAGGCCATCAAGCCTCCTGTCCTTTCCAAACAGAAAGTGAAACTAATATCCGCTCACAGCAACTGGAATTGCGGCGGAAGAGTTTGAGATATGGGTTTCTTACATGACAGCTAAAAATTACACGTCAACGTCTCGTAGACTGTACATTGTGCGTACTAGTTCCAAGATACCAAGAGATATGTAAACTATTCGTAAGTATACATGTGTGTGTGAGAATTCGGCTCCTCGCAAACTCCTAACGTATTCCGTCATGCCGAAACATGCAGGGGTCCTGCACTAGTGGGACGTTCATTGTTGAACTACAGCCTGAGCATCTTTTCTACCAACGGGATAGTACTTCAGGTTCTAAATTCATAGTTCACACTGAAGCTGAAATCGTTGTAACTACAGTAACAGTAGCTCAGAGGCTGATATGTAAGAAAAGAAAAAATTTATTGGATATTCGAAAAGAATAAAAAATAAACACTTGGGAAGAGTAATTACTTGTATTGGACTTAGGAACCAGATGCTATTTAATTTGAGTTTTCATTTGAGTGATTGATCACCAACGTATTCTGAATGAAGGCTTTCTAAGCTCATAAGGCTTGCAAGTGAATGTTAACAGAACAAACCTCAATGATTCTTGTGCGCAACGGCAAACCTAAGGCCTTTACTCGAACTATCGCGTGTATAGAAACTAATTAAACACTCCAGATCAAGAAGCACTAGATGAGCTTAAATGGATGTGCTGTTTTTGGAGATCGAAATCAAGCATACAACAAGTAAAAAGAATTCGTTAGTTCAAACAAACACCACACCAATGTATCTGAATTCTATTAATTAGCTGGAGCTGGTGAAGTAATTTTTGTTTTCATGCTATGCAGTTCGAACAATGTAGATTGACAACTCTTTGTTTTTACTAAGTCATAAATCTGTCCGATGTGATCGCTTAACCTTTAGGCTTAGATCAATACGAGGTTTCGCATTTTTTCAGTAAGGTGTTACGCCACTTCCGAAAGACGTTGATGCTATGTGCAAATATCCGTTATCCGTATCAAGAAAGAAGTTGCGACGACTTATGGAGCTAATAAATTATTAAAGACGATTTATCCTGAACAGTGAGACAGTATTGCGACCACTGATGGGTGCCTTGAGAGGATATGCCTGGACATTCTATCTGTCAACAGAGGCTACACAGGCATTCAGAAAGACCAGGCGAACACTAAACGAAATGCATGAATTATCAAAAAGTCAAAGTCCATAGTCACACTAGTTCTGCAGTGGGTTCTGTCCCTCACTCCGACACTAGATTAGAACATACACTCGTCGATATTCATCGATAGATTCGGTGTTATTGTAATTAATAGAGAATTTCAACTAGAAAGTCGCCTTTTCCATCAGCTTACAAAACGTCTCGGGATTAAAAGGGTCCGCAAGATATCCTACATTCCGACGGCAAATAATGTGTCTGGAGACTTACGTAAACAGTTAAGATATTCTCTCACGATTGTCTTTGCGTACAACGATCAGGCTTATAAGCTTCCTCTGATCCTGCTGGGCTTGAAAACAAAAACTAAACAGGATATTGTACGCTTTCCAGCAGGATTGGTATATGGAAGTACGCCAAATTTACCCGGAGAATTTGTCACTCCAGGTAAAAGTTTTCCGATTGGTGTGGCCGACTACGTACAGCGCTCAAAGAAGAACATGAACAATTTGCAAGTAACGCTTCTCAGACGGCAGCAACGACGATTATTCGTGCCGCAGCAATTGTATAGCAGCATGTATATACACATTAGAATAGATAATGTACAACCACATTACAGCCGAATTATGGTGGTCCGTTTAGAGTGATTGCGAGGATCGATATAACACTTACCGTAAATAAGCTCGGAAGATAGAGGTAACCATTAATCCAGCTAAACCAGCTTTCGCTGAATGTCATCAACCGGAATTCACAGACACTTTAAAGACCGTCGCATCACCATAACACGAGTCTCAAACATCAACGACGAAAATGAAACAAAGAGAAGAGACTCCGATAACGACTAGATGTG